GGGGTTGAAGCTGGAAGAGGCTGTTTGGTCTCCTTTTAAAAACTCTCTCTTAAGCCCTGATTGACTTATTCATTTCACTACTGGAGACAAAGGCCAAAATAAAGTTAAAGAAATGGGCTTCTGAAACCCTTAGCTCAGTTCATAAAAAAGCATTTATGAAGTGCCTACTGTATACCAGACACTGTGCTAGGTGCTGGGGATTCAAAGAAAGGAAAAAGACAGTTCCTGCTCCCAAAGTGCTTACAGTCTAATGGATGAGGCTAGGAAGAAAATGGGGAAGCCCAGAAGTGACACAAAGTGCCTGGATTGCAGAAAGAACGCTGAGTATGAATGAAGGACAAATGGGAGCTACAAAGCCAATGGATTCTTGTTATCAAATCTTAGGGCAGAAAAACTGTGTGATAGTTCAGGCTGACCTACATATCTCCAAGCAGTAGTTATCAGCTCAACTGCATTATTAGATCCTTTTTCATGTGAAGCCTCTACTTGATTATCAATTTCACATGTGTTGTTGTAACACTTATAACTGGTGCTATAATTACCCACGCTGTATGAGAAGTTACATCAGTTTACATTAGCACCTGATTGTCCAATTCATCATTGCCAAATGTCTATAAAAATAAACTAGAAGTTGGAAAGCTATCATTGACTCAGCCTCCTTTTTAATTACCTTTCTGGAGAGGTGCAATCGGTCACAGTTATTATTATACAGTTTAGAATCTGCCACTTAACAATCTTCTGTCCTCGAGTTTGTCAAATGAATAGCATCATCAAAGGAAAGAAGTACAATATGCTTCAGTTCAAGATATATACAGTATATCGAGAACAATTTGCCTGATTTATTAAGTCTAAAATTCTCAAAGTAGCAACTTTTCATGGACAACTAGCAGTCATTTTGCATAAATTACACAGCCCCAGAGTTATAAACATTCCCTTTCACTTGATATCTTGTAAGTACTCGCTCTAAGTAAATGGTCTGGTCTCTTTATAACTGTCATCAGAAAAAAATGTTTGCTTCCGCTAAGGGGAATTTAAAATTAAAACTCTAAACTACTGATTTCCCTTTCCTTCTATTTAGTGGCAAGATTCCTTCTTAGCACTGTCTACTGTTAACCACACCTTTAAAAGAAAGCTGTTTCAGCTCCCCAAGGTTTAGAAGGTGTCTTCAATTCGGTTGGAAATTATCAAGATGTCCTTTCCCGAGACAATGTCCCTACTGTCTAATAGTTAGCCAATCACAATTAATTTACTCAAGGACCATAATTTTGGAAGTGAATTTGACAGACTGTTCTAGCTTCTATAACAATCATTCCTAACTCTGGTAGGATGAAAATATATAGGGAGAGATGATTTTTTTTCCAATAGAATTTCAAATTACAATGAATTCTTCAGATTGATTGATTTTTAAGACCATTGTATATAATACAGCAAATAGTTCACCATGAGTTATAGAAACTCCTCAACTATTCCATTAGAAACACTCTATGTTTGACTGGTAGAGGATGTGGCCTCAAATCAACATGGAAACCTGGCAAAATATGAAAAGATGGGACCCATTTAAAATTATTATTACCTACGAGGCATATCATGTTAGCTGACAAAAGAATATGATCGACTTACATTTCTTCTCCATGAAAGAGACTCAAGCACTGGTTTGAGTAAATCGACAAATATCAGAATATTTAAGCTAGATAGGAAGCAAGGCATGATGGCTAGAGTGCTAGACTGGAAGCCAGGAAAGCCCAAATGGCCTCTTCTCTTACTGGCCATACAACCACAGAAAGGTCACTGGACCTCTCTGAACCTCAGATAATTCCCTGAGACTATACGTTATTAAAAGGTTGGCTTCATTTTGGTTAATAGAGAGATGTCCCACACCAGAAAATCATAGGTCATCATGACATTGCCATTCAGTAGGCAAAAACCTGTAATGTTCCCATCACTACTACCATCAAGCCTGTTAGACGTCAAGGGTCAGCATTCACAGCCAAATTTCTCACAACGTCTTGGATTTTTCAAAATGACCATTGTGGCACAGTTGGGCTAGACCATTCTGTTTCTAAGGGGAGGTAAACTGAAAGCAGCTAGCAAGTCTTAGAATTGCTCTATATAGCTTCCACTATTCCCTTGAAAGGTCTAATAGAGGATAGAACTTGGAGTACTAAGTAGAAATTGCCTATTGGCAAACTTAGGCCTGATCAATTAATCAAGATTTATTAGGAGGGGCAGCTAGGTGGCCTGGTGGATAGAGCACCGGCCCTGGATTCAGGAGGACCTGAGTTCAAATCCAGCCTCAGACACATAACACTCACTAACTGTGTGACACTGGGCAAGTCACTTAACCCCATTGCCTGACCAAAAAAACAAAAACAAAAACAAAAAACAAACAAACAAAAAGATTTATTAGGTACAGACTATGTGACAGATATAATGCTAGGTGCTGAGGACACAGACAAAAAAAAAATCAAACAGCCCCTCACCTTAAGGAGCTTAATTTCTAGATATATGAATAGAAGTTGGACTTGTGATATCATTGTCATAAGGAACTGTCAGGTGAAGAGATCCTACCAGTGCAGGTTGGCATTGCATAATTTATAAAGTTATAATTTATAGCCTCAGAGATTTGCATAAGCCACTGAGGCAAAATGACTTAGTTGCATTCATGAGGCCAGTATGTGTTAGAAGTGGGACTTGAACTCAGGTCTTCTTGGTTTTGAGGTCTGTTTTCTATCCACTATGTAATGCTGCCTCTAATATGTAAATAATTCATATGTGTATATGTGTGTATACATATATACACACATATACATATATATCACATATATGTATTTATATTTGTGTGTATATACTCACAGATAGATAAAGATATAGATATATGGATGGATGGATGGCTGGCTGGTTGGCTGGATGGATGGATAGAAAAGGGAAAACTACCTAATAATGAGAGCTCCACAAAAGCTATACAAAAGTGAAATGTGTTGCTTCTGGAGGAAATGGTTCTTCCTCTTTCAAACAAAAGCTATGCCACAGAAATTTTTTTTTTTTAAGACATGAGTTCGATTAAAATTTAAGGCTTCTGTATCTGGGGCCTATGAACTTTTTAAAACATGGTTTTGTAACTATATTTTAATATAATTTGTATCCTTTGCAATCCTAGGTATTTTATTTTATGCATTTAAAACCATTATTCTGAAGAGTGGGCCATTCACCAGCTTACCTAAGGGGACCATGCCAACCAAAAGGCTAAAAACTGCTAGGATTTGAAGGCCGTCTATGTTCCTTCCAACTCTGGAATTCTGGGGTTCTGTGACCCGGTCTCCAATATCCCCAACCCTTCATCCAATCCCTCATTACAATTCAATTCACCTTGATTAATCTTTATTGAGTGTCTTGCACCGCCCAAGGCATTTATCAGGACCATAATATAATATAATTTCTGTTTTAGAAGCACTGCCACGATGTGATGCAAAAAAAAAAAAAAATCAAGCATCAAAAATTTCATGAAGCAACCAAGAATTCATACCTTGCTAAGGGCCCCATCCAGCCACCTAAGCTAGCACGTGGCATTTTAGTCGACTCTAATGGGATTTGCTGAATCTCATTAATATTAATTTGGCCATCAATATGAATACGTGGATGAGTGAAATCCATGTGCTGATTGAATGAGGGAAAGTCGACACCATAAATTCACTGGGCATTCTCTACTGGGCAGGCGACCCTTTTCTAAGGCAGGCGCTTCAGCCAAAAAAAAAAGGCCTTTTGTTTGCTTACTAAAGAATAAATCTGCCAAACCAGCCTGGCTTTAAATTACTGTTGCATCTCAGGTGGAAGGCTGCCATGTGATTTAAATTCCAATAGACCTATACCTTCCTATATTTCTTATTTGTGAGTTGCCACCTTACAGATAAAGGGTTGGACACCATCATTTCAATAAATATTTTCAGCTGAGACAGTTTTGTCCTGTTTCTACAACCCAGTTGTTTTCTTTTCTTTCCTTTTTTTTAAAAAGGCCTGACATACCCTGAGATCCAATGAGGGATTTTGAGAGGGGGAAAAAAGGCTCTTCATTTCAAAGGCAGCCAGTAGGTTTGAACAGTGAGCAAACAAGACCTCCAAATAGACTGCCATCTTCAGAACTCCAAAGGGAGTCTGGGTGAGTGACAACTCTGGTATGTCTGTTTGTTAGAAGGGAAAGAATTCTGAAACTTCCTTTTGTAGGAGCACACAGAAAATAAAGTAATATTTACGCCATCCGTGCGGTCACCTATCTCTAAGCAAGCATTCTTTATGCATACATAGATATATACATACATACACACATACATACATATATGTATACTATATATATGTGTATTTTTAAAATCGGCATCACTGAATCCTTTCATCAGTGGGGCATTTTCTCTTCTCCTCTCAGAGAGAGGGATAATTACTGAGTGTATTCAGTAAGTTGAAGTCCATCTTTAGGGTAGAAATAGCACTTAGACACAGCTCAAGTCCAATTGGATGCACCATCCTGGCTACGAGGGAATGGCTATCATGCGACTTTTAATCTCGTATGAAACAAAAAGATTAAACCGTCAATATTAGGTTGAGTTGCCGTGACGGCTTCGCTGAGAGATCCCAGGCCTTGAAACAGCATCTAATGATATGTATGCAAGGAATGGATTTTTCCTTATAATGCATGTAATTAGAGCACAGAACAAAATGTTCTCTTCAAATTCATGACATGCCCAGCTAATAAAGCAGGAGAGGATGAGGCCCTTGCTATTTATTTGCATGAAAAAGCTTCAATATAGGATATACTTTAGAGAAATTAGTTTTTAATCTAGGTGACTAGATGAGATTTTGACCCTGAACTGTTTTTCGAGTTGACCTGAGAGAATTTATGCAGAAATAAGACTCTAATGCCTATAAACCAGACAGGCACCGCTTTTTTCATTAATTTCTGAGTGTCTCATATAGTCAAGAGGAGCAGAAAATTGTTCTCTTTAAAAGCTCACCTTACGAGAATTTGTTTTCTGAAACATAATCAAGGAAAACTGATGGGGAGCTCAGCAAGAGTGTATTCTTTTTAAATTTGGACATTCCAGAAGTTAGATACAGTGAAGCAGCAGCTATGGCTCTCTGTTGACCTGTATAAAAGAGAAATTTATGGCTGTAGATGTGTACGAATATATTAGGAAGCAAAGCTTGCTGCTACAGCCCCAGTACCTTCCACTGGGCTGGATCGTACATGGACCACCCAACAGGTCCTTCAAACAAAACATCATCATGCATTTAGGCATGATGGCCAACACTTGTGCCATGCCATGTGTAATGGGCCATTTGGATTTCAAGCCTATCCAATTCAGCAAGCATTTAAGTGCCTCCTATATTCAGGACGTGTCTATAGGAGCTAGAGATAAAAAGACAACAGAACCAAACACCACTCTTAAGGAACTAGATTCTACTGTAAGAATTTAGACAAATACACCTACAGGATATCGTTTGCAGAGGGTGAGAACTCAAGCACCTTGGTGGAACAGGAAAGGCTTCCCATAAAAGGTGGAATCTGAACTGAACATGAAAAATACTAGGGATTCTAAGAGGAGGAAGTCAGGATGGAGTCATTTCAGGCATGGCGCACAACCTATGCAAAGGAGCAGGCAGGAGATGGAGTGCAGTGTGAAAGATAGTTGATGAGATAGTTATGACAAACATAGAAAATGTCATTTAGTCAATCAGTTAGCAGCTATTAAGCACCAGTATGTGCCAGGCACTGTGCTAGGTGCTAGAGATACAATAAAAGGCAACAAACAGTCTACTGAATCAGATAACATGCAGATGACTATGTATAAGCAAGATATGTCCAGGATAAATTGGAGATAATGTCAGAGGGAAGGCACTAAGAGTCTGGCCGGTTAAAGTTTTTTTTTTTTTTTTTTCAGAAGGTGAGACTTTAGCTGAGATTTGAGAATAGCCAGAGGGGGAAAAAATGTAAGTGCAGTAAAATGGCATAAATCTGGAAAGGAAGAGAAGAGACAGATTATGGAGAACTTTAAGAGAGAGAAAGAGAGCTCACTTCCCCTCACCAAAAATTTATCAGGGTATCATTTATTAGTTATGAAATAAAGGATACAGAAAGATATGTGCCAGTTTATACCACACTCCTCTAGGGTTCCTTTTGTCTTTATGTGAGACATGGAATTGGTCACAATGTTGCAGGTGGAGGGGAACTCAGAGGGCATTTGGTCCTCTCCATATTTGACAAAACAAGCAAATAAGCAAGCACCTCTATCTTGTATCTGACAAATGTCAGCCAGTCTTTTCTTGAAGACCTCCAGTGTGTGGGTAGAGGTGAGAGCTGGTACCTACAACACTTCCAAGGTAGCACATTCCATTTTTTTCTCATCATTAACAAGTTTGTTCATACCTCCAAACTACAACTGTGCCTTTCCAACTCATACTAGCTGCTTCTCATGCTGTCTTCTGATGCCATGTAGAGCCAGTCCCATGAGATAGTCCTTCAAATCCTGGAAGACCTCTGCCATTGCCATACTAAGTCTCTGGGCCAAATACATTCAGCTTTGTCTGCCGATCCCCATATGGCATAATCTTGAGGCCTTCACCATCCTCGTTGTCACCTAGAGATGTTCTCTAGCTCAATAATATCCTTCTTAAGAAGACCACCAAAAACTAAATGCCATAATTCCCTGTGGTCCTTAGGATAGACAGCAGTGAGGGGGCTAACTCAAAAGGAAAACTGAGATGAGTTACAAGAGTTCAGCTCTGCACACACTACCTGTCTCACATTGGAAGTCTTTTAAACTCTCCTTTTCTACAATTTCCTCACTTGTAAAATGAGGGCATTAGATTAATCTTTTCTGGATTTGGATTTGGGGCTACCATGATCATATGATCCTAAGATGAAGGTGTTGAGTAAACCCTCTGAAAGATTTTTGGAAAAACTTGGACGAGAATTCAACCAGATAAGAAGGCACAGATGAGATTATGATTTGCACTGATGGAGAGAATACCCTCACTAATAACATAATCCATCAAAGCCAATCTATGAAATATTCAGGGGTAGAGAACCTATGGCCCTAGAGGCCACATGTGGCCTCTAGGTCCTCAAGTGTGGCCCTTTGACTGAATCCTCAGGGTGTGGCCTCAGGGGTCACAGGTTCCCCACCCCTGATAGGTCATAAGTAATTTATGTATTAAACATGAACTAGCTATAGCTAGACTTTCCCTTCTGGGAGTTATAAAAACTCTTTTGATCTTTCAAATAGAATAGAAACTCCTTGAGGGTGTGGGCTGTTTTGGTTTTTGTGTTTGTCTCTCCAAGTCCTGTAAAGTGGATGGAGAGTTGGCCTTGGAGCCAGGAAGATATGGGTTCAAGCCCCATCTCTGACATATTGACTGTGTCAATATGGTTAAGTCAATTAACTCTCAGCACCCTAGGGACCTCTCCGAGAAAGTGACAACTTGTACTGGTAGAGGAAGATTATTCACCTCAGTGTCTCCCATGCCACTGAAATCATTGGTCCACTCTTTATCTCTAGCACCCTGTACTTAGTAGGTTTTTCAACAAATATTTTTGAATGAATGAGTCTAATGAATATTCATGTAATAAAAATAGCACTTTACTCTCTTCATTTAATGACAGGCATTGGTCATTCACTCCTCAAGACCAGTTAGTTGCTTTTCTTTGGCCATGTATGTATAAGAAAAAAGAAAAAAAAAACAAGCATTGCAGTTTGAAATAAAGGGAAAATTGTTGGCATAATTGAAATCTTTACAACTGAAGCTATTGTTGGAGTGTTGAAAGAAACTATTCTTCTCCAATCTATTAGGAAAGTGTTTTCTTAGATACAAGTCATATCTTTAACGAACAAGAATATCTTAATGGACCACTTTACATTTAATTTATCTTCTATTCTTATTATTCAACTAAGCCTAATGGAAATTTGGCAAGCAGCTAGAGAGCATGATAAAAATGAATTCACTTTTTCTTCAGCCACCTAAAGCTCCTGGAATGAACATACTGTAAACAGTAGGCATGTAATAAACATATTTATTGATTGAATGACTGAATCAGTGGTTATATCATATTCCATCACAGAATTTTTGATTTGAATGGAATTTTAGAAGTCATCTGGTCCAACTCATTCCTAAACACCAAAATGTAAGAGGAAGCAGAGTGGTTTGGGGGAAGAGAATTGGATTTGGAGTCGAAGAACACATGCTAAAGATTCTGGTTCTGTCACTCATAGCTTGTGTGACCTTAGGCATGTCACTTATCCTCCTTGGCTCTATTATTGTTTTGGCCTAGAAAATGAGAGGGTTGGACTAAATGAGGTCTAATGATGTATCTTCCAGGGCTAATTCTGTGGTCTTCACAAGGCCTTTTATTATCTTGCTATGTGTCCTCCTAACGCTCTATGGATTGTTAATGTCCTAAAAACAAGATGCCAAGAAGTGACTGAGCATGATACTCCAGGTATGCTCTGACAAAGGCAGACTACAGTGGGAGTATCACCTTCCTAGGCCTGTAGCCAGACTGTATCACGCTAACAATGGTGAGATGTACAGAGAATGACATAAAACCTGTCATTACGGTCCTCAACACCATGCCTTTCTTAATGCAACCTCAAGTTGAATTTGATTTTTCGGCTGTTGTAAACTGTTGAGTCATATTGAACTTCTACTAAAACTCTCAAATCTTTTTTTTTTTCTGATGAGTCACAGTATTTCATGTGTCCCCCATCTTGTATTGGCATAGTTTACTTTTTGAGTCCCCATACAAGACTTTATATGGTTCCCTTTATTGAATCTGGACTAATGTTCTCACCCATTGAAATGTTTTTTTTTTTTTAAAATGCTGCTGAACTAGCTATCTCTCCCAGATGCGCATGACTCCACCTTTCTCTTTATTCAGTCATTGAGAAAAACCTAAAACAATGCAAAGTCAAGTACAGATCATTGGGAGATTCACTAGAAAACATTAATGCCTCCATTTTCATGAAGTACACAGTATTATGTTTATTACTTGGAATATAAATGAATGGAAGAAAGAAAGAAAGGAAGGATGGAAGGAAGGAAGGAAGGAGGAAAGGAAGGAGGGAAAGAAGGAAGGGAAAGAAGGAAGGGAAAGAAGGAAGGAGGGAAGAAAGGAGGGAAGAAAGGAGGGAAGGAAAGAAGAAATTAGAGAGGGAAGGAGAGAAGGAAGAAAAGAATAGAACATTTATTAAGCTCTTACTATATGCAAAGACCTGTGCTAAGTGCTGGTGATACAAATAGAAAAGTAAAACTATCCTTGATCCCAAGGAAATGACATTTTAATAGGGGGTGACAGCACATTTGGAAGGTTTCAGCATCAATTGAAATATAAAGAACCCAGGGTCCTAAAGTTCCCACGGAGAAGCAGCTGCATCTTTTTCGATGCCATTGCCATTGATAATCATATCCACGTCTGAGAGTGTCCATTTCACAGTGCTAAGGACTTTGGTGCCTGAAACTTGGACACAAGACAAAAAAAAAATAGACTTCCATTCTACTTGGGACAGTGCATGCAAGAGTAAGGAACTGTAATACAAGCTTAGGAGTGTTTGAACAACAGAGATATTCAAAATGCTCTAAGGATATTTACAAAGGGAGAAATGTTTTGGGAGCAGAATCTGGCCACAGGAGTTGGCTTTGTACACAGTGGAAGAGTTTCCTCCTATGTAGCTACTGGGGAGCCATAACCCAAGTGAATCATAGAGCAGCTATCAGGGAAAGTGCACGTCTCCACCTGCTCATATGCCACAATGTCACAAAGCCACACAGGCATGTATATGTATGTACACACACATAATGTATATGCCCCAGATTGTAGCTTGCCATATGAGGATTGTATTATGTAAGTGGGGAAGTTAATTTGAAGAAAGAGAAGTCGTCTATAGCTGCTGGCAGCTAGGTGGTGCAGTGGATAGAGTTTTGGGCCTGGAGTCAGGAAGACCTGAGTTCAAATCCTGCCTCAGACACTTACTACATGTAAGAACCTGGGCAAGTCACTTAACCTCTGTTTGCCTTAGTTTCCCTAACTGTAAAATAGGGATAATAAAAGCACCCACCTCCAGGGTTGTAGTTAGAATCAAATAAGATATTA